GTACTAAAAGGCTTTGCAAGCAAGATATATACCACTGAAAAGGATAAAGCCATTATCTACCCCTAGTGCAAATTACAAAGAGCTGTGATTAGTATCTTCGAAGTTCAGCATTAATGTACTCACCACCTCTGATGAGACATCTGCTGAGTTTTCAGTGGCCAGGGAGTCACCAGCCAGGCAGAGAAGGGTTGGTGCCATTGCTGCTTGGAATAGGCTGATTCTCAATGCTGTCAAGTTGACATTTTCTACTCCTTGGTTTTCTTTCAGGATTTTATACCTTTTCATGTTGTTGTTCTCCTCTTGAAACCTTGAGATGCAACCTATCACTACATTTTCCCTTCTTTCTTGGGTCTAATCTTGCTTTTTTCTTATGCTGTAGTTTTCTTCTTAGAAGTTAATGCAGCTATGCTATCGAAACTAGACTTTGATCACAGGCATTTGAACCCCTAGGAGAGGGCTCTACAATGGAATTTATGCTAATAGAGTTCATAAACAGAATGCAATCACCTAAACCCATGGTTGAGGCAAAGTCCTCATGGTTTCACTGGGATTTTGTGGGAATCCTTAGGTCATTTCTAATAAACAGATGGGTGTGTGCCAGCTGAAGAGAACTAAGGCACTCAGACAAGTGTTCTGCTGAGAACAGGGCAAAAGAGATAGTTAAGCCATTCTAGTTGAAGTGAAATTAGTTCACTTCAAGAAGAGAAAATATCAGACAAGCCCTTCACCATTCTTTCAAAGGACTGCAAAACTCTGGATCTCAAGAGGACGTGAAACTACCCTGTAGTGTTAGAGGGGGAGATGATCCCTGAAATACTGAAAGCAAGATAACACTTTTGTTTGTTGTGGCAGAGCGACCTTTCGACCCTAACAACTTCCTAGTCCATGCTGTTTCCAACATCATCTGCTCCATTGTCTTTGGGGATCGGTTTGACTACGAGGACAAGAAATTTCTAACTTTAATTAATTTGATAGATGAAAACAACAAGCTCCAGACGTCTCTACACATACAGGTGTGCATGGTTATATTTAATACATTTATTATTATAATATTTTATTATTGAAGATTTATTCATATTATTAATTTTTAATTAGAGGGGATTTTCCTAAATTTGGAACAAAAAAAATTGAAAGTGAAAAAGACAGTTAAATAATCAGTTCCTGCTGTTTTTTTTCCTTATCTTATGGAATTGCAATTGTATGTCCAAAGGATATAATTGCAAAAGTTGCTGAAGTGCAGTCTATCCTTGAATGTACTAAAACCCTAAAGTAAATGGCATTAAAATCCTGAGTAATAAAGACCTACCATTCCAAAACAGTTTAATTGCCCCATTTTCATAGTTACGATTAGGGGAAAATATTATTGTATGTGCATTAATCAGAATGTGCTTTTTATCATTTTATTTTTACAGCTATATAATTTTTTCCCAACTGTCATGGAGTTAATACCTGGACCGCATAAACAACTGATAAAAAATGTTGAAGAAATCGATCAATTTACAACAGAAATTGTAATGGAGCACCAGAAAACCTTGGATCCCACTTGTCCTCGAGATTTTGTTGATGCTTTTCTTAACAAAATGGAACAGGTATTGTAAGGGTAGACTGCTTGAATCACATCTTTTCACTTGTGGCATTGGGTTTTTGCAAATACAGAGGGGAGCTTGCTCTTCTTGCCACATCAACTTCATTCTATCCTCTAAATTTTCTTATCAAGGATTTTTAAACACAGAATTAACAGCACCAGCCAAAGTTAAGAAAGTTGAAGACCAATCTGGTTAATGTAATTCAAGGCTACTCCCATATTAAAAAAGGTTCATAGTATTATTCAGTAAAAGTACATAAATGCTGGTGGTATCGTATTTTTGAAAGGACATTAGATATGTTTATAAACACACATTATGGGTACAGGACTTGTCTTTTTAAACAATCTTCTTGATTTTGTCATTCAAAACCTTCTGCCAAATCTTCTTGCAGGAGAAAGGAAATCTCGACTCAAAATTCACCATTGAGGCTTTGACCAGAACCACGCTCGACTTGTTCTTTGCAGGAACAGGGACCACCAGCCTCACACTGAGATTTGCACTTCTGATTCTCCATAAATACCCAGAGATAGCAGGTAATAGAAAAGGAAATAAATGATGTAAAAAGTTTTAGTAGGTTACGGGATCAGTTTGGACAATTGCTGTCATTACTACATGTGGCAATGGTCCCCTGACTAAGAAACATGTCTTTGCAGTGTGGAAATGTTTATTATCTTAGTCCTATTCACAAGGAGATGTTAGTACTAAGTATATGAATATATTCCCAATTTACTAAAAGTAAGTTGTGTTGTAAATACAGGCAGAGACTTAGACAAACAGCTGGGCTACTTGTCCACTGAGCATTTCCTTATTTCCTAACAGAGAAAATGCAAAAGGAGATTGATTCCGTGATTGGCCGGGACCGAAGCCCCCGCATGGCAGATCGGAGCCAGATGCCCTACACAGAGGCTGTGATCCATGAAATCCAGAGATACATTGATTTCATTCCACTTAATGTCCCACATGCTGTGACCAGAGACACCAAGTTCAGAGACTATTTTATCCCCAAGGTCTGTTGCATTGTGTCTGAGAAAGGTCATAATCTCCTGAAAACAATTATGTGTTCTATTCTTTGTATTTTATTTAATTTTTAAAAGCGCTGAAATGTGATATTGAATTGGAATAGTTTTGTTTGGTAGGGGATTCTGGTAGTTATTGAGTCCAATCCCTTGTATTAGAAAAGAAAAAAAAAAAAAGAAAAGATTTTTCATCCTCTATGACAAGAGGGCGGTAAAGCTTTCTATTTTTTTACATAAATGGAAGGTGTATTCCATTTGGGAGCAATTTGAAATACTCTAAACAGACTCACCACTAAAATTCATTAAAAAAAACATCTTTGCCATAACAATGTCCTATATTTTCACTCCTTAAATGCTCATTTTGAACTGGTTAAACTTTGACTACCCTTCTATTTAGCTCTGGGAACCTCTTAATCCCTCTTTGCTTTAGCAAATCTCCAGTGTACCTTTCTTTTTTGTCAATTCAGGGCACTATGGTATTCCCTATGCTGACTGCTGTCCTACATGATAGCAAGGAATTTCCAAATCCCGAAAAATTTGACCCAGGACATTTCCTGAATGCAAATGGTACCTTTAAAAAGAGTGACTACTTTATGCCATTTTCTACAGGTAAGACCTCTTCCTATTTCAGATCCTAGACTATCCTCTCCTAGAATCTCTTTGAAAGTTTCAGTGGCTCCATTGCCATGATCTGTACAGTGATGTCTGGTGACGTCTGCCACTCACTTCTGGGCAGCTGTAACCCCTGCACTAGAGTTTCAGTTGACTTCCTTGTTTACCAACCTCAAAAGTTCCTTCAATGCCTTCTCCAAGAAGAGGTGTATAAAGTGGGACTCAGCCATGCAACTTCTCTCTCTCCAGATGAACCATCAAACAGCAGCAGAACATGAGACACCAGAGCCTTCAAACCACCTTTGCCCACTGAGCACTCTTTGTGTTCTAGACCTTTAGTTTCTACTTTAATTCACTTGTTCCCCAAAATGCTGCAGTGCTGCCTATGCCTTCTGAGATGTCTGAACTGTCAAGGAACAGTGGTTAAAACCAGTTAGCAAGCAAAATACTGCGTCACCTCAATTTTTATTATTTTCTTTTCTTGCAGGAAAACGTGCCTGTGCAGGAGAAGGTCTGGCCCGGATGGAGATATTCATATTCTTAACATCCATCCTGCAGAACTTTACTTTGAAGCCTATTGTGGATCCCAAGGACATTGACATTACTCCAATAGTCACCTCTCTGGCAAGCATGCCCAGACCCTATCAGCTCTCTTTTGTTCCACGTTAGCCAAGAGAAAACTGTTGCCAGCTCCCAAACTTCTGAATGCTCTGATTAGCAACAGTCACTTCCCAATCTGTTGAGACTGAAACACTCAGATAATTTTCTAGATGCTTTATGGAGGCAAAAGCACTTAGAAAAGAAAATGCTATGGTGCTGTTATAATCACCACAGCCAGCTCTAAACAGAGACAGAGTAGGCAATGGCACGGGGAAGAACACAGCTCCCTGTGCAAAATCATACAGGTTTTCCTCTGCACCTGCCTCGCCCAGCTCTGGTTCCTGTCTGGCTCCTGACATACTGGGTGAGTGGAGTAGCTGTCTGAGAGCCCTGCTGCTGCTGTCCTTATCCCTTGACCACCTCAGCACAGCAGAACAGATGCTTATACTCCAGGCTTTCCACAGAATCTGCTTGAGGTACCTCTCTCTGTACTTTCAATTTGTTTGTAACCTATTTGTAAAGGTAAGCGTATAACAGTGAGGTTTTTTCTGTTAGATGATGGTCATCTAACATATTCTTTTCCCAGTACTTATTGTCTACTGTGGTGGGAATGGAGTTTATCAGTGACTGGGCAGATGGGTTATCTTCTGTGTGATTGCAATGAAGGTTTGTGAAACTACAACTTACATTGCAAAATTAAAAAGTGGTACACCGAATTGTTCTTTTTCTGAGATTCCAGACCATCTTTCAGTGAAAAACCTGCATCCACAGAGCTTGTATTTCCAAATGTTTTTCAAGTCTTGTACACTGTTGAAATCTGTTTCATTTCACTCATGTATATGAAATGCCCTATGGCTTGAAGAATGAGCTGGCTAATGACCTATAAACTTCCATTCCCAATGTGGGATAATAGAGGACTTATCAGAACCCCAGCTGTAGTTACAGAGCTGTCCACTGTGGAAAAAAAAAAAAAAGACAAATTAAATAATACCAGGATGCCCCCAGTGCCATTTCCTAGATAAACGCCAGCTTGCATCTTCCCATTATTTTATGAAGTACGTAAAGATCACTACAGCAATGTTACAATCAGGCAAAAAAATATAAACAGTGTTTACATGAATTGCCAATCATACCTGTACAGATCTAGGATTGGCATTTCCTGTCTTGATCACATTCCCTGCAAAGTATAATATATAGTGATTACAGTGAAGACAGAGAGCTGAATCTGTGCTGTGTGGGAAAAGACAGCAACTGTAACATTACCACAATGGTATTAACTGCTTATTAACAGGCTAAACTTGTTTTCTTTGAAAGTATTAATAAGCTAGATATACCATGACTTGGTGGCATAGCATTCCAAAGGCAAAAGTCACAAATGTCACAGAATCATAGAAATAAGTTGTCTCATCTGATAAAAAGAAGAAAGCACTCTGTAATTCCTCTTCAGCTGTGCCATGACTAAAATAGCCAAAGCAAATGAGGAAGCAGCTTCCTTCTTTCAGACATCTTCCTCCATGCTGAAAAGAGAAGGAGGCAGCCAATGCAGATCAGCAAGAAAACAGTTTAAGCACCCAGAGACTCCACCAGGATGCGAAATGGGTGTTGACATTTGAGGAGGGCTAAAGCCGTGTCCTGGAAGCCTCACTTTGTGTCACTTGTGGTATAAAAAGCAGTGCAATGGTAACCAAAAACTGCTTACATTAGTTCTGGGTTAACTAAAAAAATTAGCCACTGCTGGAAAGTTCTACATGTCCCATGAAGCCATACTGCTCCCTCTCCCTGCCTGCTAGTGCACAGTGCAGCCTTGGCTTTTTCTTCTGCAGGGACAGCACAGACAGTGCATTACTTGCTCATGTGCAGAATCAGGCAGGACCATACGAATTTTCTGTGGCAAACCTGACACAATGTCCTGGCACTTGGCCATGTGAAGAAGACTTTCTGACTTGATGAATCCATTCTGCACATTGTTGCTATTAGTGCCCAAATACCTCTCACACAACATAAGCGCCCCTGTGAGCTCAAGCTTTTAAGATGCTTCTAAGAAGCTGGGAAGCAGCTACAGAAGCAACAGTCAGCTGGGCAAGTACTAATGAAGAAAAGAAATGGCAAATTCTGAAACATACAAAAGTGTCCCTAAGTGAAGAACTCAGTGAAGAAATCCATGAAGCAAACAAAAGTACTTCAACATTGTCCCCATAACAGGGCAATAGCACTTCCCTGAGCTATTATTATAAATTAACGTGACATAGAGAGATTAATTGGATGTCTGGACATAAAGGACAGATGTGGGTCAAGGGAGATGGGGTGATCAAAGGTAAAAACAAGCAGTTTGGAGTAGCCAGGTGTAAACTCAAATACCTTTAAATTTCTTGTTGAAGAGGAAAAAAACACGGGCAGAGCACATACCAAGCCTCGTGTGCACATATATGTTACACAGCTCTTATAGGCTGAAGGGAAGGATGTTGAGACATTTGTGAATTCCCATACAGAAGCTTCATTTAAAAGGGAAAGTTGTGAAAACAGTGGTTTTATCCACAGCTGTCAAGTTAGGGATTCTCCCAGCTGCCATTTCAGATGTATTTTTGACCACTTGGGATGTCAGTGCTCTCTTGATAACCCTACACAGTAGCATGTTAAACTATACATGACTGTTAAAAGGTTGAAACTTTCAACCTAAAAGTTGAAAGTAGTTTTGTACAACATAGAACATTCTGAGGTTCACTAGCACTGCTTTATCCTGAGGATGAAGCTCTCTATTGGATTACTGATTAACACTGAGGAACTTTGGTTCCGGGACTCACCTTTCTAAACGGATCTTCTGTTTGGCACACAAATACATCAGGGATGTTTTCTGACATGAGTCATAACTGTAACTCCCAATGCTTCTGTGCTGTGGGATATACAGCCCCCCTCAACTGAGACACACACACACAGACACACAGACACAGACACACACACACACACACACACCCCACCCAAAGGTTTCCACTTCCTTGCAGCTGATGCCTCTTCAGTTTTCCCTGCTGACACAGGAAAGTGTGTGTCCTGACTAATTGCAGTGCTGTACACTGCCCAACACAATGAGGATGTGTACCACACTGGCATGTCACTAGACATTCTTCTAAACAGACTGTATTTCTTTCCTACATATCAGCACTTGTACTATTCTCTTGTGCAACTCACTCAAAAGCCAGCTTGAAGTACTTACGGTCGACAGGTATGGAAAAAGTCCTCGGTGTGGGAGGCATGCCTGTTCAGTAGGCAGGGCTCTGCCAAATTAGCAATTTGGAAATTGTTAATCTGGTAGAGAAGCAACTTTTTGTGCTGGCCATGCCACTTCAAACACTACCAGGATCACGATTCACTGCTGAAGTAGAGAAAGGAGCTGCTAAGTTAACTGAGCACATGATACAGCAATGTATCTTGCAATTCACCTGAGGTCCAGGCAGTCAAAGAATGCAATTGCAACAATACTTGAGGCAGAGTTTAAAACATGTTCTCTTCTACCATCTTCAGGAGCTGGAAAAATCTGTCCTTCGAAAAAAATACAGAAACAGCTTATATAATCTTTCCCACAGGAACTTAGGATTCCAGAGAAACAAATGCAGCAAGTTGTTTTATTGTAAATTTATAGTAATTAGTCTCCCTATGTCAAACAGATAACGGGGGATACCAAAATTAAGGGTTCTCAATACCCCTCTCGTAAGTCCAAAGGCCAAAGTATCTTCTCAACACAGAGCACAATGAAGGAAAAAGTGAAGTTTTGGTCCTACTGCTATTGAGGGAAAATGTCTTTTATAGGTTACAGAGGAATTTTCTTAGACAGACTATTTCATGTGAAAAACAGGACTAACACACACATAGCCAGTATCAGCATGGGTTAGGGACAGGCTTCTACTTGTCACTGCAAAACAACTGAGCAACAGAACCTCCTGAGAAGAGGAAAATATTATTCAGCCTTAAGCCTGAATACAGCTAGTCTACATGGTCTATACATGTATATAAATGTAATAGACAAGATTAGCATTGTATAGCAGCATATCTATTTCAGAGAGTTTTCTTTCCTTCAGTACCTAATGGAATGTGAACCTTCTGACTCTTAAGATGCTTCATTTCCCAAACAAGTGCACCATTTGTTATACCCCTACCATATTTGGTGTACTTACATTTTTGATTCAAATCCTTAAGATTTCTACTGATGTTTATAGCAATATCTTTCATTTCTAGGTACTTCAAGCTAGTCAGCTTATTCATGTTTTCCAAGAGTTTGTAGTCCTCACTGGTGGCTTAAAAAAGAACACAGTTTATTTTAATTAAAGGCTGATGTGGTTTGAATCATGTGCAGACTCTTTAAGAGGACAAGAGATTTCAAACCAAGAGAAAAATGTAGAGTACAGTTTGGATGGCAATCCAGGTATAACACGTTACAAAATGAGAATGACCTTTTGTGAATTGCAAAAATCAACTAAGCTGATGAATTCACTTGTATTTTTTTTTTTTTTGAGAGAGAAAAATTTACTAATTCCTCACATTTCTAGTCTTACTCTGTAAGTTAGACACTTATGTTTACAAAACTGATAGCACAAATTCAGACTGGTCATCTGTACCATATATCCTTCAAGTCTGTGTGAATTAGTGGTGCTGTGGAGTGCTTTCAGAATTAGAGCCTATGGAATGCACTAAGCTGGTGAGCAGTTTACTTTGCTCCAGTTAATTTTGCACAGCAGTTTATTCTAAAGCATCAATATATTGGAATAAGGAAAAATCCTTGAACAATGGGAAAAGAAATATAATCGGAGAAGTTATATATCTGCAGCTTTTCTCTGATACTTCTTTATGGTTTTCTTTGTTGCTTTTGTTATCATGTGACCTTTATTATTGATTTTCCAAGTATTGGGGCACTTAAAACTGGGAAATTTCACTTGTTTCTTCTTAATCCAAAGTTCAATCAGCAAACTGTTCTTTTATTCTTTTTAATCTTCAGTCATTCACAGAGCTAATTAAATTCATAGGAGAGCTAATTAAATTCATAGGACCAGTAAGTGCAACTTTTATCCATTGCAAAGACTCAGCTGAAAAGTCCGTTTGGTTTCCCTGAGGTTATTGAAGGATGAGCTTGGCTCTTCATTGCCATAACATGTAAGACTTAAATTCTGTCTTTTTCTCCATAAAGATGAGAACATACTGACAGTAGAAGAAATCATGCACTGCTTCCCCATGGCCACCATGCTGGTGAGTGCAACAGGAGTGATTTGTGAGAGCTTTGCCAGCTCTCACATCTCTGTGTCACCAAGCATGCAGAGTCTGTGGCCTGACTTCCCATGCACAGAGTGCTGGCAGGGGATGGCTGTGCATTTGGACCTGGAGGGAAGATAAGAGAGGGCAGATGTGATGCAGCTGTAGGAGAGTTTTGGCTTTGAAGGGTTTGGGTGTGAGCCAGAAAAGAAAACCAGAGAGAAATACCTGACACAACTGTGATGTGAATTCTGATACAAATTACATGCCTTTGATACTGTGGGTCTTCCATGGTTGCCACCATTATTCTCTTGCATTCCTGAAACCCAACTTGTTTGAGATGGAAGGTGGTTTAGTTTGGAAGCGGCTTTGTGATTATGTTCAGCCAGTCCACTGTGCTCTGGAAGATCATCAGGAGGGCTGAAAAAAAGAAACTCTCTCTTCCTAGCAAAATTATGAGATCAGAGTTTTCTAGAGTGTCTTACGATATATTTAGGAAATGAGAGTCATGGTGGCCATGACCTCTCAAATTCCAGGTGTGGGTCATTGTGGAGGATGGGAAGGAGTGCTGAAAGCCTTGGAGGGGAAATCACAGGGCAGGCACATCTCTGGGAAGGTACCACAGGGTGTGGCAGGGAAATCCCATTGTGATGGGACTTCCTCCAGCTGGGGCAGGGCACCTGAAGTAAAGAGGGAAAGGTGTTGAGGGTGCTCAGAGCACAAGCTTTGAGGGCAGGAATGGCCATGGCATCAGCAAGGATCACTCAGGGAGGAGCTGAGGTAAGTAACATGAGAGCTAAGTGGAACTGAAGCAAAGTCCAAAGCTGATCAGCCAGAGAAGTGAAGCAGGCTGGCAGAGATGCAAAGAAGGGTCCTGGAGAACTGCTGGAGCCTCCAAGGGACCTAACAGGGTGAAAGGGCCCTGCCCTGGCCAGGGTTACT